CTATACTTAATTTCCAGATCCTTCAAACACTTTTCTCTTCCATCACTTGTAGCTGTGAAGCAAAAATTTGGTTTGAAACACTCCTGTGTGTGTTTGGGGGAGGTGGGCCTGCAGGATTTTGGACAATTATCAGATGGATGAGTTTTATTTACAGTAAAATAGCTGGTAGTATTCATTGCTGATTACTGCTCTTGTTTCTAAACTCTTTTGACCCTGTATGCCCCCTTTACTTTTCCCTGGCTGACAGCTCCATTTTGAAGTCAGCCAAGCTAAAATTCTTCATTCCATCCATTGGCCTCCACCTCCCCATCAATACCATAGGAAGCAGAAACCAAGGAATAGTTCAAGGCACTCTTCTTTGACCTCCAGAATAAAGCTATTAACCAAGAAAGGGCACAACACCTTCAGGCCAAGATTCCCTTTAAGGTATGTCTACACTACAGTGATTGATCCAGTGGGGGTTGATTTATCGTGTCTAGTCTAGACGCGATAAATCGATCCCCGAGCACTCTCCCGTTGACTCCTGTACTCCACCGCCACGAGAGGCGCAGGTGGAGTCAATGGGGGAGCGGCAGCAGTCAACTCACCGCGGTGAAGACACCATGCTAAGTTGATCTAAGTACGCTGACTTCAGCTACCTTATTCACGTTGCTGAAGTTGCGTAACTTAAATTGATCCCCCCCCAGTGTAGACCAGGCCTTAGTCTTTTTTCCTAACTGGCTGGTATTCAGTCAGACATGGCCAAATGTGCTACTGTATAATAAGATGTTGGGGCTCTAAGAAAGTGTCACCTTGTGTCCAAAAGTAAATCTTAAATATCTTATGGAGAATGGGTGTAATTTTTTGCGTTGCTTTTATTGTATTTTGAAATGGGATATATAATTACATTTGGCAGTAGGAAGGAGTCAAGAATAGGAATGAAGCCATAAACTGGGCTGCCCAAGACAACTTGTTGTGAGCTTATTGCTTTGACATTCTCTCTCTCATTTTTTCAGACTACAACCCATTGAATTTGATTGCTTTGGCCACTCTCACTCTTTGTTGCTGGCTCCTTGCCTAGCTTCTGGAATACACAGCCCTGCTTGTATATGTGCCAAGTTCACTGTCACAGACCAGTGGAACTCACCAGTATCGTCCACACAATGTGAAAGTCTGTATCCTCTGCTAGGTAAGTGGTGCCTGAAGAGGGCCTAATATGGAAAGAGAGGACCACAAAATCAAAGTGAGAGTTAAAGGAGCTCGGTTTTATCAAATGGGTATTAAAAGCCAACAAACATGGTAAATACCTTATTTCTCCCCCTGCTCCTCCCCCCAAAAAAACCTAAAAGGAAAAGATTTCACATGAAGAAAAAGAGACCAACAAAAATCTAATGCTTCCCAAAATTATTGTTATAGGAAGTTTATATTGAGATGTGTCAGGACTCCCCCCACTTACCATGCCTCGCTCCGGATTTTTAAAAAAACAGCCAGTGGACACCCAATGTGTGAGTGTCAGCTGCTCTCAGCCTGTTGACACCTGCTTCAGGCACTATTGGTTCAAGCTGTCCACAGATATGTAAACTGACCCGGTTTTCTTAATAGAGTTGATTCTGACACCTAGAGTCATCACTGCTATTTCATTAATGATCATATTTACAGAATCATCCAGCTAGTCTGTTTATCCATCACTTTGTGAAGAAATGAGTAGTGGGGCATGAGCAGCTGGGTACCTGCAAGGACTGATGGAGATAAAGGAGGAGTTCAAAATTTAAAGGAACCTCTGCCCCTCACCTCTAGGGGGGAAGAATGGTCACAACCTCCTGACATCTGTTTGTGACACTCCCAGATGTCATGACCCTCCAGGCTGAAGACCCCTGTTCTAGAGGGGAAGCAAGTTTTATTTAGAGATGAAATGTTGCTTTATATGATGGTCAGTTTTGAATGTGTGAAAGGGACAATCACAATAGCTTATTTTCTAGAATACATACAGTTGCATGAGAAAAAGTAGGTTTCTCCAGGAATAATCGTCACTGTTATTACTATTGCTACTGCAGTGGAGCTGGGAATCAGGGACCTACTATTTAATGTAGGCACTGTACACATAGAAAACTGTCCCTTCCTCCAAGAGTTTATCAGCTAAGTAGAGTTCCCCCCCATGGGGAAACTAAGGCTCCATTAGAGCCAGGGAGAAGCTGGAGGATCCTTCAGTGCAGATTGTCCAGCAGCCCTGGCCATATGGAAGGTCTAGATCATGCCTACAACCATGAAACCTTTCTCTAGAAGCATCACTGTAGATGCTAGGTTATTTGATGAAGCTGCAGTAAATGAACATGGGATATAAGAATGCAGTTTAATTTTATGAATGCAAATGATGGGTCCCCATCCTATGAGTTTTTACTCAGCAAAAGGTTACATCCCTTCCAAGAGAATAAGGGTTTATCACTCAAATCCAATAGATTCCTCCAGATTTGTATGAATCTCGGTGCTCTGCCAAGATTTCAGGGTATCTGCATAGGGGTATAGAGTCATGCTGCCAGAGCCATTGGAACCTTGCTTGGTAGCAGGGGTATGTGCAGGAATAAAAATTTGACCCCTTTTGGAGGGGCACTTTGTGTCCATGCCCTAGCCCCAGGGCCAGAGGAGCTCACTCTCCCTGCCCTGGCCGAGCTCGCTTTTCCCACTCCAGCTGCAGGGCCGGAGGAGTTCTGTGCCCATGCCGATTATTGGGAGGGTCTTGCCCCTGCTTGCCACACCCCCTTATGCATGTCCCTGCTTGGTCCAGAGAGATGGCTCCTGAACCTGTATTACCTTTCTGGAGGACTTCCCTCAGGTTGCCAGGAGGAATAATGTGTGTCCCACGTGACTCCACCAGACCCAATTTCTCTCTCCTTCTTCTCTCCACACACAAGTTCCAGGATCTATGAGATCCTTTTCCAGATCCATGGAATGGGTGGGTGATGAGGCCCTCTCTCCTTGACTTCCAGCCTGGAAGGGACAGATAGATATGTGGAAGAACCCTGACCTTACCTATAAGTTGTGAAAAAAGTTGTATTGCATGTGCATGTGGTGTTTAGGTAATTTTATCACACATTTTCTGGTTAGGCTGAGAAGTATGGAGTTAGATGCAGTGACTCAAACAGCTACAATAGCAAAGATGGATAGTTGCATGGTTAAAGCATTTGGCTGGGAATTAACAGATCCTGGTTCTGCCACAGGCTGTGTGTGTATGACCTTGAATTTAGGCTGCTTTCAGTGCCTCAGTTTCACATGTATCTAGTGGGGATAACAATACCTTTCTATCTCGCAGGGATGCTCATAAATGAGGCTCAATTTATTAATGAGAGTATGGGGGAGTGATAAATTAAGAGGATAGGTCATGAGATCTGGCTTGTGTGAGAAATTGGGCACAAACAATATGCATTTTAATATGGCCACACGTAAAGTCATATGTCTTGGAACAAAGAAGAATCAAATGCCTAACTCAGTGTTGGGCAACCTGCTGCCCGCAGGCCACAGGCGGCCCATCAGGGTAATCTGATTGCAGGCCGCAAGACATTTTGCGGACATTGACCATCCGCAGGCACCGTCCCACGCAGCTCCCAGTGGCCGTGGTTCTCTGTTCCCAGCCAATGGGAGCTGCAGGAAGCAGCAACCAGCATGTTAAGGCGAGGTTAGATAAACTCTTTTCAGGGATGGTCTAGGTAAACTTGGTCTTGCCTCAGCACAGGGGGTTGTATTAGATGATCTGTTGAGGTCCTTTCTAGCCCTACAGTTTTATTATTCTAAGTAGGCCATATTTACAAGAGGAGGACTCTATCCTGGGAACCTGTGACTCTGAAAAGGACTTGTGGAGGTCATTGCGGATAATCAGCAGAACATGAGCTTCCAGGGTGACACTGTGGCCAGTGAAATCCTTGGATATATAAGAGAATCTTGAATAGAAGCAGAGAGGTTATATTACCACTGTATTTGGCACTGGTGCAACCGTGTTTGGAATACTGTGTCCAGTTCTAGTGTCCACAATTCAAGAAAGCTGTTGATAAATTAGAGATGGTTCAGAGAAGAACCATGGTCAGCATTTCTGGATGTCTTGTTAAACAATAACATTTTGCCTTTCTTTTTGTCTATACATTTGTTAAAAGTGAATACAAGAACCACTTGCATTAAAGAGACACACTATCAAACTAGAAACGGAATTCATTTTTCATATTTGACTGAAGGGGTTTCAGGTCCCAAACCTTACTTTGAGCCATCTGCTAATTCTTCTGATTTTGCAACCATATTTTCCCTATCTTTAAGGGCCCAATCCTATATGCTGCTAAACAACTCCTGGAAATGCTGAATCTTTCAACGTCCATCACTGGAGTTGTTCAGCACTTGGCAGAATCAGGCCCCCAAAGTGCTGTCAAATATACAGCATAAACTAGCTGTCTAAATGCAGAAGAATGTTGAGACAGAAGTGTGATTTTTTATATTGATGGTGTCCCTTCAGTGTTTACACTAGCCCTTTCTAACAAAATGGCAGCAATTGAAGCACATATGGACTTCTAACAGTGATTCACCAAAGCTAAACATTTCTATTGTTGTTTTAGATCACCAGTCTCTGTAATGGCCTTCCTTCTAAACACTGTTTATTATATTTAGTTAATTGTAAATATGAAATGGAATGAACATGAAGTGTGTATAAAATTAATACATGTCATTATCTTGCACTATTGTAGCCCTCTATCTAAGATACTTCTATGGCTTTCATCATCATCACAGTATCTGAGCACCTCATAATCTTTAATGTAGTCATCCTCACAACACCAGCCCTACAAGGTAGGGAAGTGCTATGATCCCCATTTTACAGATAAGAACTGAGACACAGGGGGCTAAGTAACTTGCATAAGATCACAGAGGAAGTCAGTGGCAGAGGATGAACTTGAACCTATGTCTCTCAAGTTCTAGTCTAATGCCCTACCACTGGGCTGTCCCATAACTGTAACCTCTCTCCTTTGATTGTTTTTGTCTCTTGCTATGCTATGTCTAATTTTAGGGCCAAATCCTTCTCACCTTATCCCCATAAGTAATGAATCAGTGGGACTACTGGCATAAAAGGAGCAAGCTTTGTCCCCAATTCCACAAGCATTTGTGCATGTGCTTGGCTTTATGCACATGAATAGTCAGATGAATGTCAATGATGTAGTCGTATTGCTATCAGTGGGACAACTCATGCATGTAAACGTAAGCACATGGGCAAGGATTTGCAGGATCAGGGCTTAGATTGTAAAGTCCTCAGGGCAGGGATCTGTCATTTTTTCATTTGTCTGTAAAGCATAATGCAGAGCTATGGCACTGTATCAAGAATACATAATATGCATAATAATATTTTGTGTTTCCCTCCCCACAAAAGAAAAATATGTTGCTGATCATTAAAACTCACTGAAATCTTCAATTACTGAAATAAATAGGTGATACAATGTAGGAGCTGAGAATCAGCAGGATTCTGTGTGGCTTCATTTTTCCATGCACGCACCTACAACAAATTGATTTGCTACAACCCAGTTCCAGACATCACCTTATTTCTAGTACAGTTACCTAGGAAACCACAGTATACTGCTGGGACAAGCTGCCCACTTCTGTTCCTGTTTAAGCTATTAAAACACATCAACTCTCTGTCCAAGAAGAGCAGCACACTGATTATTTCAGCTTCTAGCAATTTCATCATTTATTTTATATCGATACAGTCTAATAATGTATATACCTGTGTGTATATACACACACACACAAATATGCCTATGGATAGCTAGCTATATTATATAATATAGGTTGTACCATTGACTCTGAGACTACTGATATTGTGTGTGTGTATACATATCTATTCTATGTACACCCACCTACACACACTAGCTCATATACCTATATATAGTCAGGCCCCTGTCAGGACAGGAGGCTAAACTGTTCTGAAATAAGTCCCTAGGACAACAGAGACATATAGGTATATGAGCTAGTGTGTGTGTGTGTAGGTGGGTGTACATTGTATACATATCTATTCTCACAC